GAACTTTTTTTCTGAGAGAGATAAACATAGAAATCATCTAATAAAACTGAGCAAAAAGGAGCAGTAAATGCCCTGCTTTCTAATTAAGTGATAATAGAATCTTCCCACTATTTTATGAGGCAATAACCCAGCTCCCGGTGGATGAACTGTAAGTCTGAGGCCAAGTTGAATATCCTAAGAATGGAGTAGATTATTTCCTCATAAAAGAGTTCCTCAGAACCATTACTGTGGCACAGTGTGCTGGCAAACCCTTTCATTCTTTTCCAAAAGCCAGGGTAGTAAGTGTCTGGCCTAAGCACTCCATACCTGTGCCAAGGGAGGGCACGGGGAGCCAAATCCCCCAGACCCTGGCTGAGAGCAGGCGCACTTCCCTGAGTGGCTCTTCTCCTAAAGCCCTGGTTTTCTTTTAATTAGCAAACAGCAGCCACATCAACAGACAGATCCAGCTGGTATCAGAAACACATTAGTAGGGATTAGCAAAATGGAGGGCTTGGCTCCCAGTTAATATACATTTAGTCTCAGCCAAGTCACGTTTGGTTATTTTGTATCAAGGCTTTATACACAAAGTGATTAAACAGAGAGAAAAATGGTATCACCTTAAAGATACTATAGAAGACTTGGAAAAACTTAACAATTAAGCTAGTTTATAAACAGTGAAAATACAGATTGTATTTCTTGTTTTCAGAAAAGGGACTAAAAGGAGTCATGCAAATGTAACAAGCCAACATGTATACACAGTATTCCAATAAAACCTTCTCAACTCAGAGCTTTGGTGAGGTAATCTGATTATAAACACAGATGTCTCCAATTTTCATTACACAGGTTGCTGATCAGGGAATACTGTTTTTAGACTGGAGGCAAGCACATGAACTGATAAAGCTACTCCACTTGGAGTAAGTTATTTTTCATTATATGCTCAGTCATAATATGATTAAAAAACAAACTTGCACTTAAACTGTTATGTTGCTGTTGCTGTTCTTCATCATTGGGATAGAATGGAGGCAGGCACCCCTATATCTCACAGGGCACTGCAGCTCACCTAGGAAATTGAGTTTGAGCTGCAACAAATGAAATTACTTTTGATGCATTTATCATAAAAAGACACAACAGAACCTTATATGCAAAAGATTATGCTAAAGTTGCATTCTGTGATTCACAGGAAGTCCTGCTGACAAACAGTCACGTTACCCGAAGCAGCGACTTATTTAATGGGGGTACTGCCCATAGGAGCCCTCACGACCAGAGAGGGGGACTGGAGCTCCAGCTGCATCAGAGGGGAAGAGTTTTGAACTGATTCCCACCCCTCCCCCCCACCCTGCACTATGCCTTGAGCATTCCTTCTAATCTGGAAATGGATGAATCTCTTCACTGCATTTCTATGAAAATGATCCACACAGGCGTTATAAAAATATGTCAGCAGTGCAGAGAAATACAAAGATAAGAGCAAAACTTTACCAATGATCTCACCATTTAGAAACAAAACCTCAAAATCTCTCTAGGCATGTTGGCAGAAGCACACAGAAGCACAGAAAGAAAGAGAGGTAAATACACACAGTTTGATAAATATGGGATAATACTCTGTGCAGCATGTTTCGAGGGTCAAGTTCAATTTGACTGAATTAATTACGAGAATAATCAAAAGAGATAGAGGAAATACTGAAATTGAGATAAGATCGTCTTTATTTTAAGATACATGTTACTACAAGGTATTTAAAAACCACCTAGCTTATTACAAATACGCAGAGGGCAGGGATTCCTGATTTTTATTCATGACTACAAATTTCCATTTTTCAGATTGTGTGTGACCACCTGCTATAAAATTAAGGAATCCAACATTCTCAATTCACTGCTGCCAATCATCTTTGCTAGTGTGGACAGCCATGGCCTTTGTAACCAGGGCCATAAATCTTGCAGTTGTTTTGTCTTACTTCTATATTTAGATGGAGGCAATGTTCCGTTACTTTCCTTTGATCACAACTTTTACAGTCTTAGATTCCTCATTTATACTCTAACCTGGCTGGCATTTATGTCCATTTCCCCATCAAGATGTAGGGAGGCTGCAGGCATTTTTTTCGTCCTTGTGTGTCAGACTCTGTTGCCCCCTCGAGTTGTTAGAAATGCATCACAAAGACTTCTTTCTCTGAGATCCATCTCTTAAACCCCCATGCTCCTTGCTGTGGATACGTATTTCCTGATTCCAGTCATCTGCACTCTACAGTTAGGTCTCACTGCTTTCCTGGTCTTCTAGGGTCTTGCCTGGCACTTGCTGTATTGTTGTCTGCAGCTAGAACAATCTTCCATGGATGCTGTCTCCACATTAACATACTGCACCCGCTCTGTGAGAAGGAGTGAACGCATTGAAACATTTATATTATCAAGTGTGAAACAGATCGCCAGCCCAGGTTGGATGCATGAGATAAGTGCTCAGGGCTGGTGCACTGGGAAGACCCAGAGGGATGGGATGGGGAGGGAGGCGGGAGGGGGGATTGGGATGGGGAACACATGTAAATCCATGACTGATTCATGTCAATGTATGGCAAAAACCACCACAATATTGTAAAGTAATGAGCCTCCAACTAATAAAAAAATAAAAAAAAAGAGTGAACACAACAGGTCTGGGCTGTGCCAACCCTGTTTATCCCTAGAGAAGCCAGTTTCAGCCCCAGACATTGGACAGTTCCTTACCTTCAGACCTTGGACAGCCCCTGAGAATGGAACTCCTGGGAATATTCTTTTTGATAGAGTGTTTCTGTAAACCCAAGGCCTTGAGCCACCCTGTATTAGTCTGTTAGTTTATGTTGATGTGATAGATGGTGAATACCTGCCATCCTCCTGGGTCCTGGAACTTCAGTAAGTGGTGTCAGCCGCACAGAGGCTGCACATCTACATGACTGACTCCCCAGTAAAAACCCTGGATGCCATGCTCACATGAGATCCCTGGTTGCTAACATTTCACAGTGTTGTTTCCCATCACTGGGAAAGCTGTGTCCTATGTGACTCCACGGGGAGGAAGCCCCTAGATGCTGGAGTCAGGTTTGTTGTGAGCTTGGCCCCAAGCACTGTCTCCTTGGTTGATTGATTCTGTGACCTTTGCTGTGAAAAACATCATCTCAGACACATAAAACCTTCTAGCAAATCAGGATGTGTGAGGGTGCTCTGGGGGGTCCCAGCACAGTAATTAACTCATTTCACCCAGTGGTGCAGCAAGCGATGAATGTGACTGAGTATCATTTCCAGAAATCTGAGCCACTGCTTCATTCTCTTTCCCTGTCCCAATCTGCTGTTGAGACAGCTGTTTATGATCTGATCGTGATCTTAAGTACACGATTGTTCTCTCTAGAAATGGCTTGGAATCTCTCTATCTTTGATTTTCTGGCTCTATTTATTCATTTTTTATTTGGCAAGGGCCGTCATAAAGTCATGACTTGTCCCTGCAGCTGTGACACACGCTGTCCTCCAGGTAGTCACCTGAATGCTTAGCAGTCATCATCATTCTGCCCCTTGTACTTCCTGGGCTTGCTCAGCATCCAGTGGCCCTCTTCTGCGCAGAGGCCGGCCCTGCGGCACATCCACGATGAGTTTTCTGACTCGTGTCTTTGTAGGCTGCTACTCACAGAATGTGGTCCCTCAGCTTTGTGAACTGTGAACTGTGTTAGTCACTCAGTTGTGTCCGACTCTTTGCAACCTGATAGACTATAGGCTGCCAGCTCCTCTGTCCATGGGATTTTCCAGGCAAGAATACTGGAGTGGGTTGCCAGTCCCTCCTCCAAGGGATCTTCCCAATCCAGGAATAGAACCCAGGTCTCCTGTTCAAATTCATGTTAAGTCCTGAATTAACTCAAATGTGACAGTCTTTGGGAGGTGAGGAGGTCATGCTTAAGGAGCCTTTAAGAATAGTATTAGCTCTTATAAGAGACCCCAGAGAGTTCCCTCACCCCTTCTGTAATGTGAGGACCCTGTGAGAAGATGCCACCTTGAACCAGGAAGGGGACCCACTCCAGGCACCCGATCTGCTGGCACTTTGCCCTTGGACTTCCAGCCTTCAGCACTGTGAGAAATAAATGCCTGTTGTTTATAGGGCACTCAGTCTACAGTACTTGGTTCGAGTAGCCTGAAGCTGACTACAACACCCATCACTGGGAAGAAATTCACCTTGAATTTCTAGAAATCCATGCAGCTCTTTTATTCAATAGAGATACCCCTACCAATCTATCTTCCAGCATTTGTGACTGTATTTCCTTTTTAAAATGTATTTTTTTAAGAGTTACAAGAAAGATACGTTAATGGCTCCATCAACCACATAGAACAAAGTCATTTTAAAGTTTGCAATAAGAGTTTTATCTAATGACACTTATGCTAAGAGAAGAAATAAAAGGTTGAAGTGGAAAATCAGCAGTGAGACTGTAAAGGCACGTGCATTATTGCAACAAGCACTGACTTGGGGTCCAACACTCAGGAACCCAGGTAAGCTTCATCATGGAGTGGCTGTGGGGCAGCACAGGATGCCACAAGAGCGTGTCTTTTGGAGGCACTGTTCCCTCACCAATGAAATAAAGATAACATTAACTGGAAATAGAGCAAAAACTCCTTGTATTTAAGTTGATGCATTCAAAACAACTGTTTAAGTTCAAATATTGCATGATTCACATCAGGTTTTAGTAAATTTCTCTAACACACCTAATTCTAATTTGATAATTTTTTATCTTTTAAAGAAATTAATTTTGAATTTTCTCATTCTTGCCCCTTTTTTTTTTGGTAGGGAAGAGTCCTTTTTATACCATTTCTATGTCAGTGTTAAGTAATGTCATGATTTCTAGGTTTTTTAAAAAATTCCTTTTAATTTAAAAACATTTTTATTTTGTTTTATATTATTTTTAAGCAGACATGTATACTGAAGGTGTCCAGCATGGTGGTCTGATGCGCACATTAACTGTGGAATGGTTAATCCAGTGACCATCTCTGTGGCAGGTCTCCAGCAGCATTATGAACTGCAGACTTACTCTGCCCACATAACCGCCACTTCACGCCTTTTGACCAGCTTCTCACCACTCCCCAGTCCTTGTCTGGCCCCTGGTAGCAGCCTGGTGCTGGGGAGGCCTTGCGCCTCAGTCACTGTGGGGCTGGGGCCCATGAGGAGGGCATGGTCTGGCCTTTGCAGGGCCTCTGAGTGCTGGGGGTCCTTGGAGGCAGGGGGTGCAGGGGCCAGCTCCGCAGCAGAGTTCTTGGGGGTGACCTGGGCCTGGGGGTCGCTTCACCCTCCTGCCCACAGGCAGGCATCAGCCGGGCCGCCTGGGGATGCAGGTGGCATAGGTGATGAGCCAGCCTTTCTGCCCTCTTCAGGAACCTGCTCTCACATCTGTGCTCCTCGGGGATTGTGATCCTTCACTTGGATGGACCCCTTGGCTCCCAGGAGGTATTTCCACGTGTGGATGGATGATTCTGAAAAGGGACATGCACTGGAAACCCTTTTCCTCCATCTTGCTGATGTCACCCAACCACAACCTCTCCTGATTTGCTTTAGTGAAATTATTTTTTGTTTTCTTTCTCTGGACATTTCACCTTTTCTTCTTTTGCCCTTTTAGAGCATTAAGGCTCTGCTAAAACAGGGCAGGGAAATCCCAGGGCACTTGACAGAGTGTTATTTGGAAGAAGACCTCTCAGACACTACTTCATTTTCTTTTTATGTCTTTTTCCACTGTGATGTCAGAAGTAAATAATTTTCCTTTTTAGGTGTTTATTGTACTGTTCTATCCTAAGCATTTCACTTATTTCTTCCCTGACATTTCAAATCCAACCTTGCTTCAGTCTTGTTTTCCACACACAGCTGCTATTTGTCACCATCTTTTTCTGCTTGTTTTAATGTTCATTTTTCAAGACAATACAATTTTCATGTTTCTCTCTCTTTTTCTTGGTGAGCTTTATTCAATATCTCCATATCATCTATCTTTCTTTTTACCTGGTGTCAGTCTATGTAAAATTCTTCCTTTTGTCATTTTCTTTCCAATGAAAGTTCTTACAAGCACATCCACAATAATAAGCACATCCACAATAGAGAACACATGACTGATTTTGCCTTTTTAATGGAAAAATCTTCTTTATAACTTATGTAAACATAGTCTACTTTAAAAAATTTATAAGGTGGTCTAGCTTATGCTCTTTAATAATTCTTGTATGATATATTAAATTAAATTATTTCTGGTTCAGGAATTTGCTTTCCATCTGCATACCTCTGTAAAACTTGAAGCTTTGTTTATTATAACACAATGAGAAACAGTAATATTACTATTCACAATCTAGTTTCCTTGCTGATTAATTCTTTCAGTTTTATTGTTTCTTTTTCTTTGCAGAAGCAAATAATCAACATGAATGTATGTATGAGTTCTATGTGGGTAATATACACATATATATGTGTGTATATATATATAATGTTAATGTAATGTTAGTCACTCAGTTGTGTCTGACTCTTTGCAACCCCATGGACTGCAGCCCACCAGGCTCCTCTGTCCATGGAATTCTCCAGGCATGAATACTGAAGTGAGTTGCCATTCCCTTCTCCAGGGGATCTTCCTGATCCAGGGATTGAACTCAGGTCTCCCACAATGCAGGCAGATTCTTAACCATCTGAGCTATCAAGAATGGTTATAATTGGATATGCACTTAGGAATGAGTACTTCAGACCCATCCATTAAAAGCGGCATGGCACAGAACCCATCTTTCATGCTTTTTCCACAAGATGTACTTGAGACGCTGACCTAATACTAATACCTTCCCGCTCTATCCCATACAGATATACTCTTCCCAGAAGCCACATTACGTTCTCCCTTGTAAATCCATGTGGAGAGAGAAAGAGGCAGACATTTTCCGTCCTTGAGAAAAGGTTTAAGTATACTTTGCAATAAAACGCAAAATGTCAGCACTGACTTTCAGCAACATTGAGGAGCACAACTTGCAAAATGTTAGCCTTTCCCAGAGTTTACTGAGCACCAACATTGTATGTTTTATCACATTGCTGCATTTTGGCAGCTGCATGTAAACAGATATAGTCCTTTGAATTCATCAAAATTAAAAATTATATTTTACAAAGGTACAGCCATCACTTGCAGGGTGTAGAATCAACTCCACGGTGGTGGCTGTGACCCTGCAGTGGCGCTGCCTCTCTGCTGCCCCTCACGCTGGGGGAAGACAGTGAACCCTGCTTTCTGTTCTTCCGAGGACCTGCCTGTGCCCCTGATGCTGAGGCTCTTCTTATCACCCTATGGTCCTGAGGCACCGCTCCCCCCACCTCAGGCCCCGTGTGCTGTGGAGGGTCCTCTGTGAGGCTTCCGACTTTGGTCCTCAGCCCTCTTGCAAACTCTCTCCTTGACACTTGTAATTCTCAGCTGCCATCTGTGAACTCCGGAGGCCTGGGTGAACTTCCGGATTTCTTTTCCATGAAATGGCTTTCGGGAATGAGGACGTGGGGACCAGTCCCCTCTGACCCCAGAGACTCTCCAAGTCCTGCACTCGGCGTCAGAGCTGAAGACCCATGGTTTCTGTAGCTGGTCACGCATCACCTTCTCCTCTCCCTTTCCTCTTCAGAGCTGGAGGCTTTTATCCTCCGCTTTATCGCCAGGAGGGGTGTATTCTACAAAGCTCTCGAACCTCAGAGTCCCTGGACTGCCCCACATCTCTGACACCTTTGGGAATCTCCCTCCACCTCCGGCCATTACTCCTGTCTCCACTCTTGCTTTCCTCTCGAAGGTGTGTACTCTGCTGGGATTTGAATCTGGCAACGTAACAAAGTACTGTTCTCATTTTCTTTATTACTCTTTGCAGAAGCCTCCATAGAAAGCTCACTGTGTCTTTCAATGGCAAGCACTGGCCTCCCCGCCGAGTCCCCCGCTCTGTTGCGTGTGTGTACTATACTCACGTTCCTGACCCACATGCCCCAGGTCTGCACATCTCCCCTGTGGCTCCTGGAAGGCCACGCACTTTGGTTATACTAAAGTGAGGATCCTTGGCATCTCTATTCAAGAAGATAGTTTACCCACATGCCCCGGGTCTGCACATCTCCCCTGTGGCTCCTGGAAGGCCACGCACTTCGGTTATACTAAAGTGAGGATCCTTGGCATCTCTATTCAGGAAGATAGTTTTTAAAAGTGTTGACCAGGGACAAGTCCTTAGTGTTTATACTGTCTCCTCTGATTTTTCCACCTAAAGCCTATTGATGGAGAAGGTTCTTAAATCACTACCTTCTGCAGAGAAGAAATAATTGAGTTCCATATGACAAATATGTCACCTAGCAAATGTCTCTGTGCCTAAAATAAGCATAGACACCTGCTAGGCTCCATGTTAAACACAAGGGAGGCTATATTTTATTTCTGTAGGTGCGTGTGTTAGCAGAGTTCCCCCCACAATCATCATGAGACAAAAACTAGTACCCCGACTTTCACTTTCATGACTCAGTTACAACAAATGTAGGAGCATAATTTTAAAATTGTAATGGCTGAATAATTAAGCATTGAGTACTTCTATCAACACTGTAATTAAAGAGCGATAGCTACCCTTCCTCCTCTGCAACCATCCGTGTGAGAAAGTCACTTAAATGACATGCACAGTCTTCTTGAACTTATTGATGGAAATTATTAAACCATGAAAAGAAGTTTTCTGATTTCTTTATATAGTTCATATTCAGATCAAAGAGGCAAACAAATGATAAAGGACAACTCTGGAGTCTAATTTCAATTCTACTAATGAAGAGCTGGGGGACATTGCATATTTCATTGGGCCAATTTGACTTCAGTTACATTGAATTAAAATGAAGATATTGGGAATTATGGTGGATGACCCTGCAAGAAGGACTCCTTCACACCAGACAATGATAAAATCTGGACTAACTCTGAGCAGTCACCTGAGGTGGGGCAGATGAATAGAATCAGACAGGCTTCAGTGGAGGAGGGGGCTGCACATTTAGATAAAGGGAGTACAATGTCAGTTCCTCTTTAAGGGCACTGAGTCCTGAGCTAAGTGCAATGAAATCGTTATGACCTGGAAAAAGAACTGATGGAAATTTATAGTAGCCTCTATGTCTGGAAAAAACAGAAAACTGATAGCTGATCATCCATGAATGCATGAAGAGAGTATAAAAATCCTACAAGTGGAAGATACAGGGGATTCCAAAACTCTCTTAGCCCACATCTTTTTGACTGATTATGGAAACATGCATGTGTGAAAAGGGCTCAGAGCAGGTCAGCTAAAGACAAAAGACCTAAACTGAGTCTGCAGCTGCCACTTCAAGCCAGGAGGGAATGGTACAATATATTTAAAGTGATGAAAGGGAAGAACCTGCAACCAAGAATACTCTACCCAGCAAGACTCTCAGATTTGATGGAGAAATCAAAGGCTTTTCAGACAAGCAAAAATTAAGTAATTCAGCACCACGAAACCAGCTTTATGAAAAATGCTAAAGGAACTTCTCCAGGCAGAAAACACAAGAGAAGGGAAAGGCCTACACAAAATAAACCCAAAACAATTAAGAAAATGGGAATAGGATCATATATATCAATAATTACCTTAAATGTAAGTGGATTAAATGCACCAACCAAAAGACATAGACTTGCTGGGCAGATGAAAACATGTGCATGAATGCACTTCCACTTACCACAACATTCTGCTTGACTCCCTAAATTGCATGTAATTATTTTATATATTATTTTATGTTGTTAGGTTAATCATGCTTTCATTATTTAAGTTATACTTATCTTTTATTTTTTGTCTGCCTATTGATCATGAAAATTGATAAACTTCTTTTACTATTAAAAAAATAGATGAATATCAATTTCCAATGCAGAAAGAAAAAGTAAAGATTGAAACATGTGTAAATGTAACACCAGGGACCTATTAGTTCCTATTAGTTTATATGAAGTGGTTCCATATACATGCAGTTGGAATTACCCAGGAGAGGAGAACATGGGTCAGAATAGTACTTGGTAGAAAGAGTAGCCAACATTTTCCCTAATCTGATGACAGACATGGATTCACAGATTCAACAGCCTCTGGATAAGATGTACTTTTCTTTCTGCTACAAAGCTTAGTTATTGCATAAACTATACCCAAACATAGTGAGAAAATCTGGAATCAATCACGCTTCTTGAAATCTGAGCTTCACTCCAGAGGGTATGTGGCCAACACAACCTACCATGGAGACTCTGTCCTCTGTGGGTCCAA